AAATAATCAAGTATACAAACTTCCGAAAGCATATAAGCTCATCGCTCATGAGCTCTGCATCACAGATCAAGATATCTTACTTCAAGATATCTTACTTCGGGGTGATCGCATTGTTCTTCCTAACAAGCTGAGACAACAAGCAATTAGCCTTGCACATGAGGATCATGCAGGTATGGTCCGCTGCAAACAACGCCTGCGCTCCAAGCTTTGGTGGCCAGAGATGGACAAGCAGGTTGAAGAACGAATTCGATGCTGTCATCCATGTCAACTTGTCAGTAAGAGCCCGCGACCAGAGCCAATGGAACCAACTAAGCTTCCCAAGAAACCATGGTCGAAGCTAGCCATAGACGTATGTGGACCATTTCCCACTGGAGAACAAGTAGTTGTCCTTACTGACTATTATTCGCGCTGGCCAGAAGTCAAAATCTTAAAATCAGTCACGTCCAAAAACATTCTCGACTGGTTATTATCGGTATTTGCAACTCACGGATTTCCAGATGAAATAAAGTCCGACAACGCATCCTACTGTGTTTCTACCGAGTTCAAGGATACATTAACTTCTTGGGGAATAGAACATAAGACGGTGACGGAATATTGGCCGCAAGCAAATGGGCAAGTTGAGAGATTTAATTAAGTTCTCGAGAAACACATCCTAACCGCACAGGCGGAAGGAAAAGCATGGAAACCCACCATTCCAATCATGCTACTCCACTACCGCAATACTCCTCATAGAATGACCGGAAGAACACCTTCATCATTGCTAATGAACCGAGAAGTCAAGACGAAACTTCCTAGTTTTGAACAACAGACAAACGATGAAACTGAAACTCGCATGAAAGATGAAGAGGAGAAAGAGAAATCGACGAAATATACCGACAAGAAGCGAAAAGCAAGTCCAAGAAATCTTGAAGTCGGAAATAAAGTACTAGTTACTCAAAAACATCGAAACAAATTTACGACAAAGTTTCATCCTGATCCAATGGTAATCACCAAAATAAACGGCACGCAGATAGTGTTAAAAGACAAGAATGGCACACAACATCGCAGAAACTCATCGCATGTCAAGTTATACCAGGAAATTCCTGATCCTGAAGAAGAAATCCAGAGTGATCGCAAGCATGACAGACAAACGGAAAGTCGCGAAGAAAACACCGAAGCAACTCAAACAGAAACCAACCAGAATACTACAGAAACGGAAATTGTTCTACGTAGATCAACGAGAAATAGAAAACAACCAGACTATCTAAAAGTAGGTTAAATTAGTCAAGTTTAAAATGCAGACTGTTGACATTTATTTAGTTTAAAGAACACGGTAATGAAACCCGTAATAGTAATTCCAAGACACTAAGTCTTAGAACGGAACTACAAAGTAAAGAACTACATAGAATAGAGATTTTAGAAACTTTAAAGGTTGATATTTTCATAACTATAATTAAGGAAGGGATGTTGTATCCAAATGCTGATTGGTCAGCTGAAGTGATTGACATATAAGATTAGGTCACGAGACATTAGATTAGGAGACGCTAAGCCAGAGAGCAAGTATAGATGTATAATATAGCAGAGTAAATATATGTTATAAAAGTTGAATAACAGAGGATATAAAAGCCACTTCTCTAATAAACGAGGATGGCTAAATGGCGTGGGTGGGTGGGTCGTGCGTCGTGCGTACGGTGTTGGGCATCGTATAGACAATGAAAATATTTCTTAGAAGCTAAAGTAAAAGTGATCTTTATATATTACGCTTTTACTTAATAAGTTAAATGTTCCAAACGGGTTAGAATAAAACGCGGATGCGGACGGATAGACAGCAGACGGACGGACGGATGAGAGGGTAAAAAACGGACAGATAGGAGGGTAAAATGCGGACGGATGAGAGAGTAAAATGCGGACGGACGGATGGGAGAGTAAAATGCAGATATGAAGGTATATCGAGTGGTATTTGTATTTTTCATGCAGAATTAAAATCCTAACCTTTGCAACTTTCATGCTTAAATTTCTCTGTTATCTGGGTATGTAGTAATCCAATTTTATGCTACTATAATGTGCTGTTTTCAAAGGCTTTTCAATGCAGTTATCGGTTTAAATATACCTAAAATTCCCGTTGAGATATGACAATTTCAGTATAGCCTACCTTTACTCAAACGCGAATTACAATGGCAACATTCATGCTTAATTTTCTCTGTTATCTGTGCATGTAGTAATCCAATTTTATGCTACTATAATGTGCTGTTTTTCAAGGGCTTTCCAATGCAGTAATCGGTTTAAATATACCTAAAATTCGGCCTACTTTTACGCAAACGCGACTGCAATTGCCACTTTCATGATTTTCTCTGTTAAGACTGTTATCCAGTCGTGTTGTAATCTAATTTTATGTCATGACTGTAATGTGCTATTTTTGAAGCAAGGCATTTTTTAATACTGTGGACTGGTGCATGGTGCATTTGCCCCACTGGGCCCCTTCCTCTGCCCCACAACTGAAAAAAAATGGCCTATTGGCCCAAAGCCAGGTCCCTACGACTTGTATATGAGTAAATGAGTTTAACATTGAAAAGAAGTTTAAAAAACTAAATTTGTTGGTACAGCATACTTAACTGAACTAGTGTGTTTGAATGTTTAGCATGCAATTTATTACAAATTTCACCATTAAAACTTTTTTAAAAAATGTGTCCTCAGAATGCACGAAATACTATTTCAGGGACCCAAATTTTAAAACCATCCCTAGCTAACTCGAGCCTACGGTACTCGGCTCACACCTTCGGCGATCGTATACTACCCTGCATGGGGGAGGGCAAGGAAAGAATGGGCCCTTTGGCAATTTTGCCCCACCCTGACTGAAGAATCCTTAAAAAATGTACTGTTTTGAAGGACTTTTCAATGCAGTTATCCGTTTAAACTGTACCTAAAGTTTTGACGTTTACCGCCCAGATAACAGACAAAATTAAGCATGAAAGTTGCAATTGTAATTCACGTTTGCGTAAAAGTAAGCCGTACGGAAATTGCCATTTTTCTGCGACAATTTTTAGTATATTTAAACCAATAATTAATTTCGTTGAAAACCCGTAGGTATATTTAAACGGTAACTGTATTGAAAAGACCTTCAAAAATAGCACATTGTAGCATAAAATTACAAACTACACGACCGGATAACAGAGAAAATTAATCATGATAGTGACAAGGGTTAAGGTTTTAATTGGCATATCCGCATTTTACCCTCTCATCCGTCCGTCCGCACTTTATCCTGAATATACTATATGATGAGTAAATTGTTAAACACGTCCGAATTTATCAATATGATAAATTCGTGGCACATTTTGAACCCCTAACCCTAATCTAACTTTTAAAACCTTTTTTGAATAAACTTCTAGCTCTTATTTACTGGTAACATCGCATGGGCATACGGGCCTAATCTTGTTTGGGGGGGGAGTATTAGTTTGCCCGACTGTCGTTAATTAATATTTCTCCGCAAAATTGTTGGCGAGCGGGGGGAGGTCTTAAATTTTTTTTTCCCGTACATACCAAAAAGTTTCCCTAATATCCCTACCCTGGATTCCAGAGCCTTCGACAGTAAATAATAAATTGAGATGTCGCGAAGGCTCTGGCTCAACGCGGGGCGATTCTTTGATTAAACCGCGCCAATCACAAAAAAGAATTAGTGGTTTTAGTACAGAATCTGTACTAAAACCACTAATTCTGTTTTGTGATTGGCGCGGTTTAATCAAAGAATCGCCCCGTTGAACCAGAGCCTTCGCGACATTTCAATTTATTATTTACTGTCGAAGGCTCTGGAATCCAGGGTATAATATCCCGTAATTTTCGCAAACATACAAAAATGAATTTTCCGGACATACCAAAAAAATTTCCCTTATATCCCGTAATTTACGCACACATACAAAAATGTTTCCGGACATAACATAATTTTTCAGAAAAATTTATGTTTTGCCCGAATGACGCATGGAGTTCTGCCCGACCGTAAAAATTGGGGGGGGGGGCATGTGCCCCCCATGCCCCCCCCAGGCCCATACGCCTATGTAACATCGTACCATAGCCGGTTTTCAAAAAATGGAAAATTCACCATTTAGATCGGTATTTAAATTGTCAAAATAATTGAGTATACTAAACTAGAAATACTTTTATGAAATAAAAATTGGGGGTCACCGATGTCTTTTACAAGTTAAATTACTGTAATTAAATTCAACCACCCACAAGTTCAGCGAATCTAGCAGCATTTTTGTCAATGTGGCCATAGTTAAGGTTAGGACACCTTTTTTTGCGTTTTGTGGAAAATCGCTACTGCGCGCTCAATATCAGTCCGATTTTCATCACATTTTCACCAAATCTTCTCCAGTGCATGCAAAATATGGTAAAGTTGTAAAATTAACAAACAATAAAATATGATGTAAGAATTATTCAGGAAAATCATAAATCGCGGTACCTTTACGCTTTGAGTTGTGCTCCTGCTGGTTTTGAGTTATACTAAAGGAATACCGAATGGTTTTCCGTGCAGGATTGCGTGATCCATGCACGAGGGATGTCGCGAGACTTTCGGAAAGCGTAAACATACTCGATCCGCAGGCGAGTGTATTTTTACGCTTTCCGAAAGTCGAGCAACATCCCAAGTGCATGGATCACGCTATCCTGCTTGGAAAACCATTTGGTAATTGTTTTATAAAATAACTACAGTGAAACAATGACATTTTGTGAATCCCGCAAAAATCCCGCGAAGGCATTTTAATTCCTCGTGCAGGATAGCCTGATCCTGCACACCTATTAACCAATCAAATTGCGTGTTTCACTGTAGTTATTATATAAACCCTTTTCATAAATGGCTGCCGATTAATGTGCATATAAATTGGCCCAACTAGCCTCGTTTCTGGGTAGAAATTCCTTTGAAATCTTAACATGAGTACGAGGCTAGTTGGGCCAATTTATATGCACATAAAAGAATTTTTAATCGGCAGCCATTTATGAAAAGGGTGTATATTTATGAAAATATCATTTTTATACAGTAAAATAGTTGTTCTAAAAAATTGGGTTCGGAAATTTTTGTTTATTTCGTCATTCCGCTGATATGGCGATTTCTTTGACGACTGCAATATATTTCTGAATTGTTTGAGTGAATTGCTCTTTATTTTTAAAATATCCAAAATTAAAAAAAGCCGAACACAATTTAGCTATGTCCTGTGAAAATTTGAGAAAAATTGGTTAAAACCCGCAGGAGCACAACTCGTTTGCAAATCAGTAATTACCGTAAAATTTTTCGGGAGAAAATTGAATTTGAATATTACATTTTCAATGTTTTTCTTATTGCAGCGAAATGTATTTTACTAAATAACTCTGCGAGTTTTCAACATTTTTCGTTCAAACTTGGTCAGATAGTAGAACTAGTCTAATGCTTTCATTGAAACCAATAAAAAATTTTTAGGCAAAATTAAGAGGCAGTCCGTGTAAAAACCGACCACTCGAATTTCTTAAGATTACAGATTTCCTTCAAACTTTCTGTGTGGAAGAAGTCATTCATAAAATGAACAAAAAACATTGACTTTGAAATTGTAGTCAGTTTTAAAATTTTTTTCGCAATTATTTTCGGACGCGTTCGAAAACAAGTTAAAACGTTAATTAGGCAAGTGATATTTGAGCTTTTTTATATCTCAAAGTTCATCTCGCGCTTTTATTCTAACTTCTTGAAACATATTTATTATTTCCTGCCTAGGCATAAACCTAAACTAAAAATTATGCTGATCACTTGAAGCAAACAAAATATTGTGTATTTTTAAAAACGTCTTTCAGACAGCGGATTAAATATTCGTCTTAGTATGCTGGCGGTAAATTATTTTTTCTCAAAAGTGCAACGGTATCAGGTATCCAATCTATTGCAGCTACTGAGTATTATGACACATCTACTAGAATAAATAATAAAATCTTTGGGCAGTGTGTTTTTCACTTGACAAGCGCGTCATGAATATAGTCAATTTTCGCTAATTCGACTAATTATAAGCTATAATTTGTTAATGCATTTACTTAAATTTTTCGCGTTAAAAACATACAAAATTGTTCACTATCTTTCAAATATGGCTGTTTTTGGATAGAGACTAAGTTATAAATATGCCAGCATTTATGCTAGCTTTATAACATAGAGCAAAGTCTTGACGCATGTGCCGACTGAAATTGACATGCACGCGTTGCTAATTTTATCCGCCGGTATTATCTTTTTATTATTTATCAGTGTATGAAAGCACTGTAAACATACTGATCTTGGTAACTAAAACTATATGCACCGATTTCCTCCGAATGTACACATCTATCACAAGAGAATATTAGAAGAAAGTATATTATACAATTTATTAAAGAGTAATGTGATGTACTTGATGTAAGAACTTTAGATTGAACTCGGCCCAGGCCTCCATGTGGGCATATAAAACGCGGACAGATTTGTTTTGGCGGCCGTATTTGAACTTAGAGCTGGAGTAAACTTAGTAATTTTTTGAACTTAGAGCTGGAGTAAACTTAGAGCTGGAGTAAACAAGTCATTTGGAGTGGAGTAAAGCCTTAGATGTATGTATTCTGTTGTATTTGTTCGTCAGTTGTCCATTTATTTGTTTAAATATTTGTAATTTGTGTACGATATTTGTTTCCGTTTATTTGTATAGTTTTCACCGTGGTTGTACGAATTAAAAGCCTTTTTATAATTTCGTATTTCCTTGGTTGACACTTTGTTCCCTCCCTGGGACACAACAGTGAAAAATCTGGTTTATTCGGCGAGATTTACTAGTCATATCCTACGAAGTCGTGGACTTACAAAATGGCGGAATATGATGGAAACAGCCTATCTAGCCCAGTCGTTTCCGAACATGGAGAAAAGCGTACAAGAATGTTTACACATAAAGGTTTCCGGAACACGCTTATAAACCAGACAAAAACATTTAACAAACAAACGAAAGTATTACGGGTTGCGATTGACCTGGTATACAAAGCGATAGAGGAGAATTCAGCGATAAAGGAAGCCCTAGACTCGCTCGAAAAAGAGAGACGAATGCTCGTAAATTCTGTTAAAAGTCTTGAAGAACTCTTTGCACAGGACAAGTGGGGTGAAACAACCGACGTGGAACCAACCATCAGAAAAGCCTTCGAAAGTTTCCTACACGCAGCTGAGGTCGTTTCGCAAGAGGCAGGAAAGAAACTTGACAATAATAAAAGCAGAGTCGCGAACACGACCTCCGTAAGGTCCAGAAGATCGAGAACTTCGGTGAAAACTGGATCTACACGTTCATCACTTCATTCAGAAAGAAGAATAGCAATGGCGGAAGCAGCTGCCGCGAAAGAGCAAGCGGAGTACGACAGATTAATTGCTCAAATGGAGAAAGATCGGAAGCAACGCGAAGCCCAAGAGGTGCTAGAGAGATCAGCAGCACAAGCCCGACATGAACACGATATAGCAGTTCTTGCAGCCCGGAAATTGGAAGCAGTAGCTCAAGCGAAGCTCGAAGCCATTGAAAGATCCATAATCCAGGAGGAAGACGATTCGTATTCTGGGAAATCAAGTCGGAAAGCCAGCGTAGAACCTTTGGAACGCACCAAAGCTTGGGTGGAGAGCCAACCTCCCTTTGAAGGTGATGTGGTGAGAAAGATTAAACGAGAAGTTAACGATGAGTTCAATCAGACTTTACCCCATCCCATCGGACACCGATCGGAAAGACACCATATATATGAAACACAAGAACCTAGTCGCGTAGTTCAACAATGTATGGGAGCGATAGCTACGACCAACGAGAAGCTAACTGCAAGTCTGGCAAAGTTGAGTTTGCCGAAATGTCACCCAGATGTATTTTCTGGAGACGCTACGATGTTCCATCCTTGGAAAAGCGCATTTAAAGGAATGACGGAAAGTTGCAACGTCACCCCAGAGAACGAAATGAACTATTTATGCATGTATACAACCGGCGAGCCACGAAAGTTGGTGAACGGTTATCGGAAAAGACGTCATAAAGACCTTGAGAAACTGTTGATGGAACTATGGATGGAATTGGAAAAGCGTTTCGGCAACGTCGCAGTAATTACGAACGCATTTCTTACAAGACTTCGAGAATCAGCCAGATTTGGAGAATATGATAAGAAGAAACTCCAAGCATTCTCAGATCTGTGCTCGGACGTGGTTTCGCAAGTTAGTCAACTTCCTGGCTTAGCATGCCTCAACTATCCAAACGCCATTCGACCCATCCTCTATAACTTATCAGAATCCCTTCGCAACAGATGGGACAAGCAAGTCGTTGAATTCACTCTGAAAAACAAAGACGCTTATCCTGATTTTACCGTGTTTGCCTCCATGATCGAGAAACAGTCCCTACTCAAGAATCACCCAAACGTGACAGCTTTCGAGAAACGAGGAAAGGGAGATCGGAGAAAGCCTTTTATCCCACCACTTATCCCACCAGAGGACCCCCTGCATACGGTCTTGGCGGGAGAAACTAAAACAGAAGATGAAGAAGTTAAAGAAAAACACTGCCCGTTCCACAAATGCATCGGACATACGTTGTCAGAGTGTAAATCTTTCGCTCAAAAAAACCTGGAGGAGAAAAC